GAAAAAAAAAATAAAAGTTTTTCTTTATTTTTATTCCACTGCCTTGAAATCTCCAAAAATAAGAAACTGTATGTATATTTCTTCCTATTAATTTAGCATTTAACAATCCCATCACTGCACTGTTTACCTTCACCAATAAAATTTTATTTTCTCCTCCATCTGAATGTTTTTGGCAAAACCATTTGCTATTATAGAAAAACAAAATTTCTGACGATCTTTAAAAAATAAATTCACAAAACAAGTTATAAGAAAGTATCGCCTTACTAGGCCCAGGATACAGCTTTTTTAGTTTGATTTAACAAATTTTACTCATGAAGATTTTATTTGATTTGATTATGAATTGTTGTGAATTTGTTTATTATTAATAATATTAATTTTAATTAAATTATAATTTTTTAATGATTATTAATTACCGGTTTTATAATTAGTATCAATAATAGGCCTAGCCTACCTAGGCCTATTGGCTACATTAGCTAGCCTAGGCCTAGGTCTAGTTTTTTTTAAATTTTATATATAAGCCTAGTAGGGATAGTAAATAATATTCTTAGCCTACCTCGCTGGGCCTACGGGGCCTTGCTTGTGGCAGGCCGGTAGCCTATATGTATGCTTGGGACTCATGGCCGGGAATAGCGAAGCCCTGGCCCTAACTAAAAGCGGGTATTCCTAAAAGCTAGGCCTGCCTAGCCTAGGCCTACTTCGGGCTAGGCATAGATAAGTAGGTAGGGTAGGCAGCTCTCTATCCATGACCCGGGGCAGAATAAATAAATCAAAACACTGTTTTGTTGGGACGGTAAGCTAGCCTAGGCCTAGCCTAGTCCTAATATACCATAAAATATTTTAATACTTTTTTGACTTGAAAATACCTACTACAAGTTTAATACCACAAAGAAAATGGAAAATGAAGCTTAGGATCAGCTGATGGATACGATTATACTGAACGGAGCTTCCAGAGCGAAGCTTTAGAGGTCGAGCGGAATTAATTAAGTTCGAGAGCTTGACGATGGTGGCGCACGAAATAACAACAACAATCTCAGAACCACACACGCAATACATCGAGGAAGTGTGTGATCTGTTTTAGACCTTCTTTAAATGTCATTTTTCAAGCAGATAATACGAATTTCACCTTTATTCAGATTTCCAGTCATTAAATTAGGTACGCTTATATTGTTTTTGGTTAGTTCAGCAAATAATATTTAATAATGAACATATTGTACTTTGGTAAAGCTAGGCCCTACTGTTACTGTATGATACAGTAACTGTAGCTAGGCAGCAGGCTAGGGCTAGGCCTTTCTTCTCTGGGGTGGGCTAGAGAGGCTTGGCCTCTTGAGTGAGGGCTAGACTAGGACCTAATCCTACCTACTAGTAGGGTTGATCTGGTTGTCTTGTTGTGTAATGCCAACACCAAGCACTTCAATAATTTACTCATCAATGCCGACCTTTTTAAAAACTGGTAGCATTTTCCTTGTTTTGATCTTTTCTTGTTTGTCGTGTCCACCTTGTGACATTTTTTCTTTCAATTTTATTAATATATATTATTGTAATTTGTAACAGATAATAAGATAATTTTTTTAATTGGAAGTTGATAATGAGTATATTTATATGAGAATATAATATATTTTTTTATATTAAAAATTAATAATAACTGATATCTTTTTTTATAATCAAATAAGTTTTTTTTAATTAAAATTGATAACTGATTTTTTTTGTAAAGAATAATTACAAATTTATATAATTTTAGATATTTAGAAATTGCTAATATAAATACTTGTGATTATAATTTTTTTTATTTTATTGTAAATGATAATTATTGATAGCAGATATTTTTTATGTAATAATAATAAATATAAATTTTCATTTTAATCGATTAATTTTGTGAATGTTTGATTTTTAAATTGTGTATATTTTTATATTGTGTATGTTTTTTAGTCCTTTTCTTTTGGAATATGTTGTATTGTCCAATCTGTTATACAATTGCAATAAAGTGAATTATGAATTAAAAGATGATAAGAAAGCAAAATCATGAAAAAAAATATTGGAAATCAATTTTTATTTTAGTTTTATTTCTATTGTAAATAAATTAATCTAGCTTTGTTTTTTATGCTTTGGGTAGGGGTCCGTTACTGGGTAAATTGTTGTCGTTAGGGTCTTAATATATGGTACTGTACTATATTTGTTAATCTTGAGTCGTGTAGTACCAGATCCACTTTGTTTCAGTATTAAGATACAGGGGTATTGCTAAACCCTGCAAACCCCCGCATACCCCGCAAACCTCCAAAAACACAGTGCAAACCCCATCCAAACCTTGTGATAGTGATTGAATCACATAGTTTAAGACTCAACTTGGTATCTCAATAAAAAAAAATCTTAATTTTATGTTCGAAACAACCTACTTTTTGGGTAAAAATGCCATTTTTTGTATAAAAACATTGCTAAACCCCGCAAACCTCCAAAAACACAGTGCAAACCCCATCCAAACTCTGTGATAATGATTGAATCACATAAGTATAGGACTCAATTTGGTATCTCAATATAAAACATTTAAATTTTATGTTCGTCACAACCTATTTTTGGGGTAAAAAGGCCATTTTTTACAAAAAATGTCCTTTTTACCCCAAAAATAGGTTGTGATGAACATAAAATTCAGATTTTTTTTTATTGAGATACCAAGTTGAGTCCTATACTATGTGATTCAATTATTATCACAGAGTTTGGATGGGGTTTGGGTGTTTTTTGGAGGTTTGCGGGGTTTAGCAATACCCAGATACAGCATTGGATTTTAGCCAATATCCAGAGGTGACGGAACTAGGGGGTGCTGCGTTATGGAGAGTAATGTGTGACCGGAAATGGTCTGCAGTCCGTTGGTTGTTATCATGCACCAGTGATGTTGGAGTACGTCAGTAAGATGAAACTATTTATGTAGTGTATGAATAAAGTTCGGGGTTTGTCGGGTAGTGAAATGATTATTGTGCATTTTAAGTGCTCCCTCCATGCATAAGTGTAAGCTAAATTCTGAGGCCTCACCACAAAATGAGTCTCATGGTTAGAATATGAAAAATTGAGTTTATATTATATTTGGGTAGATCACATTATTGGCTTTAATTTGGTCTTTGAATGGCTTCACTAGGATATGCAGATCCAGAGATGTGAGCATTTAAATATTATGTGTAAAAGAACCACATTTTGAGAAAATCGGCCTCCAAGAACTAACCTGTACAAATAATAGGACTAGAATTACAGAATATGCACAAAGAACACTATTTTAGTAAGAAAATTCACTTAAAAAGTATACAATCATTAAATATAAATATCAAGTTATCAAAAAACATTAAAATCAAAATTGTGTAAAAATTTTTACTTTGGCCTATTTTGGTGATTATCTCAAAATGATTTCACCAACGATGCGTCTCATTTCGTGGTGAGACCTCACAATTACGGTGATTAATTGTCTTTAATTATTAATTATCTCCATACGGGAAGGTATAGAGATAATATTTTGAAGTTCCCTCTTTCCAAGAGGGGATGCAAATGCTTTGTGAAAATGAGTATGCCACGGTACTCATTTTCACAAAGGAATACACACAACTGGTTAGCTAACAATGCAAATGATACATGAACACCTGGGAAGGAAGGTGCAATCACGTTCTGTTGCCTAGCAAACTTCTGTACTGTAGCGTGGTGGGTGGGGGGGGGGCTAGCCTACTGATGTACTGTGTAGCGGGGGATGATGAGGCATAATAAGACTAGACCTAAGTAGACAGTGCAATTATATGTGATAGAAAGTACACTTTCGAAAGAAATAAATTAAAATAAGAAAAAGAATAATTTCGTTGCAGACGTACCTTGTTTAAGTATTATATCATGCTAACAATGCGGCTTTTGTAGCCCTAGCTAGGCAAGGCATCCATGTGCAAAGCAGTGGTGTTTGTTTATCAATCAAAAAAGCATGCCGGGAAAGTTTGCTTTACCAGGAAAAGGTGACGTAATCTAGCTTATGACGTATCCATGCTAACTATTTTGTGAGTGACATCACCAAAAAATAAAAATTTTCTATTATAACCAAAATATTAATAAAGTCTACAAGGTTTGTGGGCGTAAATTCCCTTAATACGAATTAAGGGTAGAAGAATTACAGCTCTCACTGACGTCTCAGTCGAGAAATACGGGTAGCTGAAGTTTTTCTCGAAAATCTGACTACGAAACCATATCGAAATTTCACGTTCCACTACTGGCTCTGAGTTGTGCTTCGCACATGCCGCTGATGGCGGCGTTCCGGGAACCCTGTGTCAAGAAACAGAAATTCTAATTACTGACTTGTATTGTTTGTTATTTATACTTTCTTTCATGTAATTTTAATATTTAATAAAGAACGATTGAATGATGCGAAAGAATGTCCTATTTAAATAATGATTGGGAGAACAGAAAAGAGTATAAAAATACCAATTTTTAATATTTCAAATTTCTTTCATGGGTTTTGTACTGGTATCAAGTTAGTTCAAAATAATAATGTAAAAACATCAAAGAGTTATGTATTTTTAACAAGTGGGATTAGTGTTAATGTTCATTAATTTTAACTGGAGGGTGTGTGCCCACCCCTCCCCCCTCCTCACATTCTCTTATATTATACTATTGATTACAGTGTATGTACTGCACAGTACTTGTGTTACAGGGAAGCTATTTATAGGAAGGATATACGAGCTGCTCAGTAGCTAATACTGTCAATTGAGATGCTGGTTATTCTTTAAATTGTACTGTATCATCTTTGTGTGTGTTGGCAGTCATATCGATTAAATTGTCCTGTTTATGTCTTAGTGCAATTCCATGATATTCTGTATGATGTTATCTTTTTGTATTTTTACCTCATAAACATAATTTGTATCAGCACTTTCAACTGTCAAATTACATTTTATTACATTACATTAACAAACGGAGAGAGCTGTTTCAAGAGTACTGTATCTGTCTCTTATACACATCTAGATGTGTATAAGAGACAGAGGATATGCAGATCCAAATATAAAGATGTATTTGGATTTTCAGTCAGCCGTAAGTTTGAATATCCATTCTTATTTTCAATTGTACATATTTGCAGTATCAGAGGAGATTGAAGGCTTTTCTGTGTATAAACACACAATGTTTTTACATGTTTTTTCATAGACACTGTATATAGAGTTTTACTCTACTTCTCTATGTGACCAGCAAAATTAAAATTACTTCTTAAATAAAAAGGTGTTTATTTTATGAAAATTGTTTGGGTATTAGCAAAGTTATGAAATTTTTAATTCATTGGGCCGTAGCTCAGCCATTGTAGTTTTGAGAAAATAGCTTGTCAAAAAACAAGGGCCTAAGACGACTGAAACCTGGAGTTTCCTTCTTTCGTTCTGCCGGGTAAAATCAATTACTTTAGGCGATGTTTGTAGACTAACCAACACATACTAACGTCCGCATGTCGCGCTAGCCCTATCCTACTCTAGGCCTAGACTAGCTAGGATGGTATAGGCCTAGCCTTGAAGGGACGAAGGTCCCAATGAAAAACAACGTCGCTCCTTGATAGCTAACATTGTCTATTTAACATCACAATAATTCATTATTAGACCTATAGTTGTTTTTTGAATTGTACTCCACAAATCTCAGCCGATACCTCGCACAACTCGAGTAACGACTCGTATCTATTGTCGTGACATCATGGCTCGCTGCCTCACACTTGCGATGTCTCGCACTTCTTCTGATCAAATAACACGCTGGCTCGCACTTTGGCAACACTCTTTGGCAGTCAACTCACCCCTAGAAAACCCGCCCTTGGAAACTTGCCCCATAAAAAAATGTACACTTCCTAGACCATCCAGTCTTCAAAATAAAAATTGTAACCTTTGGTAATCAACTACATTTTCCACATACATAGAAATTTTTGAAACTTTATTAAAAAAAACCTAAACCATAATTCACCACTATAGACACTTTTTGACAAAAATGAAAAATTACGACTTTGTTACCCAATGAGAAGTGTTCTAATATAGACAATGGGTCATGTCTCTATTATTTGTTATATTTTTATTATTCATTATTTTCACTTGACTCGCATAAATAATTTTGTTCGAAGAACATTTATATGCAGTTGTACTTCGCAGCACTTCACATTGTAATATTTTTATGCTTATGCTATATTTTAACCTTTGGATTTTGCAACTGCGGTCCAGTGCAGTGCTGGCCCAACCTTTTCCTTACCTGAGTGTATTGTTAGCATTACTTCCTCCATGGTGCAGAGTAGCAGAGTCAGAATCCAAACCAGAGGTTGTAACTACCAGTGCCTAACTTACAGAGGGCTTACTGACTTATGTGGAGTAAATGAGATAAACATCAACATTGAGAGAGTGATGATCGCTCAACATTGTTGGCTGAGACCTCTGTAGATTAGTTAATTGCATTGTCTTGTTCCTTTGTTTATATAGTTTAAATGCTTGGAGACAATGGTATGTCCTGCTGTATATAAATATATTAATTTATTATCATTATTGTGGCAGCAGTTGTATTTCAGGCACTCAATCTGAGGTCAGGGACTCTTCATCTCTTGCTGTGAATTTGCTTGTCTTGAACAAGTCACTTTACATACTTGTCTTTATCCACTCCATAGTATATTGGGAACGTTTTAGAATATTGTGTCATATTGCTTGTCGCATTGTCTAAATATACTCCCCAAGAGTAGGTGGCATATTGTGCTAATTTGCCAATATATTAATCCAATTTTTAATACATGGGGAATAAAGCTGCAATCGCTTTATACTGGACTTGTAGAGTATAAGGCGCTACATAAATCAGAACATCATTATTATTGTATAATGTTAAAAATAAAATTGTGGTGTGTTTATATCCATTAATTAAAAATTAAAAATACAGTATAAAATATAAACAAAATCTTTATGACTGCACCATACCTTTGACAGTAAAAAAGGCCCCACTTTATAATACATGTTTTACTGTATTTTTTTTCTCCCATCAGATACAACTAGAAAACCTAGAGGCTCAGAAGTCGATGGAAAAGGTATGTTTTTGTGGTCAATGTTTGTTACCAAGTTTGTCTACTTTGATTATTATGTTTTAATGATACAAATACAGTAGAAATAAGTATATCATTGATTGAAACAAATTTATACAATGATAGGTCTGAAAAGAACTGCTTTGTTGTGTTTCCAAATGCCTGGCAATTTTAAGTATGATTGCTTTGTCTTGAGGACAAGATAATAATAAAGATGATTATGCAGATGATGATAATGAACAATAAGTTTACTGTATTTAGTCATTACAATGAATATGTCAAGAAATTGTATGATGACAAAAAAAGAGTATTTGAGAACATGAAATACTTAATATGTTGAAAATGAATATCACAAATACATTTTTTCCTAGATAATGCTTAAATTCTAAGATCATTGAAACAACAACTGAAAAGGTTAGATTATCTAGTATTTTGTTTAAAATCTTCAATTCAATTTCTGCAATTGACAAAAAAGTGCCATCTTTGCCTAAAACACAAGAAAAAGTTATACTGTACAATGGTAACTATGCATCATGGGGTATAGAGGCATCAAATGTCCTGCCTAGCCACAAAGTTAAAATGTTAAACAATGATATGTTAACTTCTATAACATGAAGTTGAATGATGTGACTGAAATTTAATCATTACTTGCTGACAGCACAATAAAATCAAATTCAGAAACAATGGCAGGTCTCGATAACAGGCCTAATGAAATGGCCCAAATGACCTACAGTAAGTCTCTCTAAAAATGTGTAACAGGTAAATAGATTTATTGCTGGCATACACCAAAGAATTGTCCTTCTGTACTTATCAATTCTCCTTATTTATGATATATCTAGTTGTTGATAATGAATTAGTATTTACTAGTGATGATGTAATTATTTATGTTTATAGTAAAATATTGACAATGTTTAAGTAAAAACAATATGAGTAAAGGTATTACATGTAGTCAATTATTAAAATATCATTCATAAGGCTTGTATTTGCAAAATACCTTTTTAAAAATGCAAAAAAAGTTGATTGAATAAAATTTGCTGTTACAAGCAGTTAGTGATCCAACGTCTCATTACCATAAACCCCCGAGGACAATTTAATCAGAAATTTTCATCAAATGAAAAATGATAGAACAAGTTAATTAATTAAATATATTCAGAGTAATTATATATACAGTGATGATGAAATTATTATTAATGCATTCATTTTTTAATTTGAACATGTATTCTTAATACATGTTAAAAAATGTTTTTTTTTCCCCTTTAGATTATCATTTTACAACTCGAGAAGACATGTTGTCGGCAATTGGGAGAGGGGAATTTATTGAACATGCAGAATTTTCTGGCAACCTATATGGCACAAGGTATATAATTTAGAAAATTAATACAAAATAAACAAAACAGAAGATGATGTCAAAAAACTACACTTTTCTCACTGCATACTTACATATATTTTTTCCTCTCATTACTACATGTGTACAGTTTATATTATTATATTGTGTACAGTTTATATTATAAGATTATAAAAAGTCTTGCCTGCCCATATCATTGAAGTTTACTGAGTTGTTGGAAATTTTACCTTGACTTTTATTCTGATATTTTTGTACTGTAAATGACCAATGTATTTAATGATGTAATTTCTAGATGTATATTTTATCCTATTGTTGGCATATATGCTGTTTGGTGAATAAATATAAATTGGAAAAAGAACAAAAAAAAAAACAAGCAAAACAAAATACTTTTTAAAAATTTTTGTTATGTCAATTTTATTTTTTTCACAGTAAAGCGGCTGTTAACCTGGTCCTTAATGAAAGAAGAATGTGTATATTAGATATTGATGTACAAGGTGTGAAGAGTATTATGAAGACCGATTTGAACCCTATTTACATATTCATTATTCCGCCAGATATCAAAGTTTTGGTAAGTTATCCAGATTTGTAGCCCCCAACCAAGATATGAAGTAGGTGCTGTAACCTAAATTTCAAACCTGCTATAAGTTGGCACAGTACCATGTCCCAATAGAGTGGAGTATAGCTTGGTGGTTAAGATACTTGGTTTTCTATCCCAGAGGGTGCTGGGTACGATTCCTGCAACAGCAATTTTTCTCAAACCAAACTTCACTCCATGTGAACGCTATACGATACATCTGCTGATTGTCAGCAGCAGTCTGAACAGATTGTTATTTAAAACGATCTGTTGCATACGCGTAGTGGTATTCCATTATCTATAGAATAGCATTGGCCAATGACGTGTCGGGTGAATGAGTGTCTTGTGAAAGGATTGCCACTTAGAATAGTGATGTTAAAGTCCACTGTTTTGTATATCTTGTGGCCCTTGTGCCTGAATTTGAATAAATAAA